ATGGGTTTTGAGAATTAATTGATTGATTGATTCACAGCTCATAAATTGTTTTTTGATTTTTTTGTTTAATTTTTTTTGTGCATCTAAATTTATTTGTTTACGAATTGAAACAATTATTCAAAATAATTGCATCAAAATAAATAAATAAGCACTTTTTAATATGTTTAGCAAAATCATTCATTATTAACCCATTTATTAATTACTTTTCTATTTTATTTTCATTATTTTCAACACATTCATTATTTATTACTTTCATAGTAATAATTGGCTTGGTGCAGATGGAGCTAAGAACATTGGAATGAGCTTGGAGAAGTGCCAAAATATAACATCTTTGAATCTCAATCTAATGTAATTTAACTAACTATCAATTTATTTAGTTTGTTTTAATTAATACATTTGTGAAATTGAAACTTAAAACAAATGGGTTTGGAGAATTAATTGATTGATTCACAGCTCATAAATTGTTTTTTGATTTTTTTGTTTAATTTTTTTTGTGCATCTAAATTTATTTGTTTACGAATTGAAACAATTATTCCAATTAATTGCATCAAAATAAATAAATTAATAAATAAATAAATAAATAAATAAATAAATAAATAAATAAATAAGCACTTTTTAATATGTTTAGCAAAATCATTCATTATTAACCAATTTATTAATTACTTTTCTATTTTATTTTCATTATTTTCAACACATTCATTATTTATTATTTTCTTAGGTATAATGAGCTTGGTGCAGATGGAGCTAAGAACATTGGAATGAGCTTGGAGAAGTGCCAAAATATAACATCTTTGAATCTCAGTCTAAGGTAATTTAACTAACTATCAATTTATTTAGTTTGTTTTAATTAATACATTTGTGAAATTGAAACTTAAAACAAATGGGTTTGGAGAATTAATTGATTGATTGATTCACAGCTCATAAATTGTTTTTTGATTTTTTTGTTTAATTTTTTTTGTGCATCTAAATTTATTTGTTTACGAATTGAAACAATTATTCCAATTAATTGCATCAAAATAAATAAATAAATAAATAAATAAGCACTTTTTAATATGTTTAGCAAAATCATTCATTATTAACCCATTTATTAATTACTTTTCTATTTTATTTTCATTATTTTCAACACATTCATTATTTATTATTTTCATAGTGATAATAAGCTTGATGCAGATGGAGCTAAGAACATTGGAATGAGCTTGGAGTAGTGCCAAAATATAACATCTTTGAATCTGTATCTCTAGTAATTTAACTAACTATCAATTTATTTAGTTTGTTTTAATTAATACATTTGTGAAATTGAAATTTAAAACAAATGGGTTTGGAGAATTAATTGATTGATTGATTCACAACTCATAAATTGTTTTTTGATTTTTTTGTTTAATTTTTTTTGTGCATCTAAATTTATTTGTT